AGAGAAGAGAAGAGAAAAAGAGATAGTTTGGACAGTTTAATAAATTGTGCTTTCTTTTGACTACCTTCGAACAATCTGTTGACTTACCTAGATTGAATCATCTTTGTTTAGTGGTCTGTGTTAGGAGATGGTCATAAACCCATCTTTTAAAAGAATTTTTAAAAACTGTATTTCTTGTTTTTAGGTACAATTTTTATCATAAATTTAAATAATTAAAAACAATCTTGTGGCCAGGGAGATAGCTCAGTAGAATAAGTGCTTGCCTGACAAGTGCAAGGGCCTGAGTTCAATACCTGGTTCCGCAAAAAAAAAAAAAAAATCTTGTAGTTACTTACTATGAAGGAAGTCCTGGATTCATTCTATAGTACTAAAAAAAAAAATCCTTTCTTGCACTCAGATTTTCAAGAAATGTATTTCCCTGTTGAGTTTTATTCTAATGCTTGTAATGTTTATGCTTCATAGCCTTATACTATTTATCCTGTAATATATTTCTGTGAAAATCTTTGTGTAGTTGTGACAGTAAAACTTGTAAATTTATTCTGTTATTAACATTACTGATGAATAGTTGATTAAAATAGTACAATTCCTATACACTTTTAATAATTATTAGAAATCCCTTTTATTTTTTTCCATCTTTCCATTTTGGTATTGGGGATAAATCCAGGGCCTCATGAATGTTAGGTGAGGGTTCTGTCACTATAAGCTATAGCCCCAGGAAATGCCTCCCCCCTTCCCTCTTTCCCTCCCTCCCCCTCTCACTCCCTCTCTCCCCTTTCCCCTCCTTCTCTTTCTCTCTCCCCCCTTTCTTTCTCTTCTCCCAGTCTCTCCCTCTTTTTCCCCTCCCTCCCTCTCTCTTCCTCCCCCCTTCTCTCCTCTCCCCCCTTCTTCTCTTTCCATCTCCTTCCTTTCCTCCCTTTCTCCATTTTCTTTTGTAGTATTGGGGTCTGAATCAGGGCTTCATACATTGTACATAAAAGCACTGTGGCATTGAGTTAAATCCTTAGCTATTTTTTATTTTGAGGCAAGGTCTTGCTAAATTACTCAGGTTTGCCTTAAATTTATAATCCTCCAGAGTACATGAAATTACAAATGTGTACCACTGACCTGGTAGAAATAGATTTCTTAATCAGACATTTTCTCTTAATTTATCCATGCAATATTGCTAGGATGAGGTAGAGTTCAGCTTTGGTTTTCAGCTTTATTTACATAAACATACAAAATACATATTTATAAAATATTTAATATATGTTAAATGGAAAGGCTAAGAAATCTTATTTATAGACAATAATAGAATAACAATATATTTGGGGGGGTTATTTTGCTTCCTTTTTTTTGAAACGGTCTCACTATGTACATCAGGTTGGCAGTGAACTTGTGACCCTTTCTGCCTCAGCTTCCTAAATGCTGGCATTTCAGGTGTGCACCACCACACCTGCCTTACAACTACATTTTTTCCATTATGTATGATTTAGCAAAAAAGCATGTAGTGTTCCGTTGTCATTTTTTTTATAAAAGGGCTTCATTGAGATATAATTTGTTATGTTATCCAAGTTGCCCATTTAAAATCTACAATGTAGAGGTTTTTGGCATATTCACATTTGTGCATCCATTAAGACAATCAACATAGAACATTTTTATAACCCTTAAAAGAAGCCTGTACCCATTAGCAGTTACTGTTTATTATCTCCAAGCCTCCCAGTCCTAGAAATCACCAGTGTGTTTTCTGTCTGTGGATCTGCCTATTCCGTACATTATATGTAAATGAAAACATGTGTAGTATTTTTTGACTGGTTTCTTTCACTTGGTACATACTTTTCTTTATTTTCTTTTTGAGACAGGGTTTCACTGTGCAGTTTAGGCTGGCCTTCAGCTCAACGCCGTAGCCCATGCCAGCCTCTGACTCTTACTGGTCTTCCTGCATCAGCCTCCCAAGTTTTGGGATTACAGGCGTGCATCACTGTGCCTTGCCTCGTTCTTTTTTTTTTTTAATGTATTTAGTACAGGGTTTACAGGGTCTCACACACAGATTGAACTTGTAGTGATCCTTCTGTGTTTCAGCCTCCCAAGCACTGGGATTACAGGGGTGCACCCCCACCCCCAATCTCAATCACATCACGCCCCAGGGGCGGGACCAGCATGGCACACTGGGGATTGAACCCCTGGCCCCTGCATCTGCCTAAGCAGGTGCTTCAATCTGCTGAGCTGTCTGGCTAGCCCCTCATTTTTCTTAAAGTTCATTTATGTTGTGGCATATATTACTTTTCCATTCCTTTTTTATAGCTAATACTATCTACGGTATGATTATATCACATCTTATGTATCCAGTTGGTAAACATTTGGGTTGTTTGCACTTTTTGACCATTATAAATGATGCTTCTAAGAAGAGTGTATACGTGTTTTTGAGTGGTCATATAGTATCATTTTCTTGGATATATACTTTGGAGTGGCAGCTGCATGAGACATAGTAACTTTATAAGAAACTTACACTGTATTTTTTTTCTTACACTATATTCTAAAGTAACTAGTGCTTACTACTAATGGTGGTGAGAAATTAGTGAGTGGCACCAATTTCCACCACTGAGTGTGAGAATGCCAGTGTCCCCACATCTCCGTCTTCATTCTAGTGTTCATTCTCATCATCTTTGATTTTATCTTCGTCTTTGTCTTCTAGTTTTTTGTATTTTTAGTGCAGGGTCTACAGGGTCTCACTACACAAATCAGTCTCTTAGTGATCCTCCTGTTTTCAGCCTCCCAAGTGCTGGGATTACAGGGGTGCGCTACCATGCCCAGTCTCAGTCACAGTCTCTGAGTACCCTGGGGGCAGGGATGGCACAGCTTTAGTTGTCAGGGATTGAACCCTGGCTGCTGCACTCTGCCTACACAGGCAGTTTAGTCCGCTAAGCTGTCTGACCAGCCCTAAGTGTCTTTTCTTAACTAATCTTGTTTTATTTTTTTAAAATTTTTTATTTATTTATTTATTTATTTATTTATTTATTTATTTATTGTGTGTGTGGCCAGCTCAGCCCACCAGGGGGCG